AGGTCGTTGCCAACGGCTTGCCGCTGTGGGGCGGGCAGCAGCTCGGCGTGGACACCACGTTGGTATCTCCCTTGTCCGGCTCGGGGCAGCCCTGCCACCAGGGTGGTCGTGTTCAAGGCGCCGTCGCAAAGAGCGGACATACCCGGAGCTGCTCCGCTCGCCAGCGGGCAACAAGCACAGCGACCAGGCTGGACCGGAGACGAACCGGCACCTCTCGCGCCTTGGCTCGCGCGAGGGCGCGCACAAAGGAGGCTGCCTCGTCACTCCACCGGCCCCCGACCTCGACGGCCAAGACAACCAAGCCCTTGCCTTTCGAGCAGCGGGGTTTGGTTGCCCTCGGCGTCCCCTGCGGCAGTCCCGCTTACGTGGCCACGTAGCTCCAGCTCATGCGGGCCAAGCAGGATCAGCTCCTTGCAGTCTGCTTGGTTGCTGTTTTTGTTTTGCGCCTTGCCCCGGTGCGCGCACTGCCCTCGCTGGCTTTTGCCGAGTCCCATGATGCTTCCATCGCGGCGCGTGTTACGGATCTGGGCGCGTCTGCAAGCGCTTGCCGGCATCCAGGTTAACGTGGGGAAGGCTCTCGCTTGGAACGCCGGCGGCGTACTGCCATCGGGCGTCGACGCCTTCGGGACCGCCAAGAACCCCAGCTGGGTGGGCGACCTGTCCCTGCCACCCCACCAGCAAAGCTTCAGGTCCCCTCTCGGCAGCCACGCGTTCACACAAGCGTTCCTGGCTGAGAAGCGCTCCCAGGACACACTCCTGCAGCGTGTCCCTGCTGTGCCGTGGCTGATACTGCTGCTGTGTGGCGCGCCCCGTGCCAACTACCTCCTTCGCTTGCCACACCCATGCTTTCGCCCGCGAGCACGATGCGGCGGTGCTGCGCTGCCTGGAGCCCCGCGCGTGGGACGAGCTGCTGCGCCTTGACCCGCGCAGGGTAGAGACTTTGGCGATTATACCCGTGGATGGCAGCGTGCTGCCGGAATGGTGCTTGACGCCGCGGACGAGGCTGGTCTGCTTGCTGACCTTGATCCTGCCTCTCGCGCGCTGCTCCTTTCCCAAGCAGGCGACCATGCCGGGTGCTTCCTCACTGTCCTCCCCACTGCCCCCGAGTTCAACATCCCGGACCCTTACTTTCGCGTTGCGGCCTTGCGCCGCCTGCGTGTGCCGCTTCCCTTCAGCGAGCGGGTGTGCCCCTGTCCGGGCGCGCTGGATGCCTTGGGGGACCACCGTGCGGCGTGCGCGCGCGCTGGCGTGGTAGGGCCCCGCAGTGTGCCCCTGCTGCCGCGAGGCTGGCGCCCGTGTGGCCGAGAACGTGCTCCTGCGCGACCTCAACCTTGATGCGCCGGTGCTGGATGACCGCCGCCTGGAGGTTGTGGCCAATGCCCTGCCCATCTGGGGCGGTGTGCAGGTCGCTGTCGACACCACCCTTGTCAGCCCCGTCCGAGCTGACGGCGCTCCGCGGCCGGGGGCTGACCGTGAACCCGGCCTAGCCCTGCGCCAGATTCGACGCCGCAAACGCCACCACACTTCCCCTGAGCTCCTCCGGAGCCGGCGCTGCTGCCTGCTTGTCCTCGGCCTTGAAGTCGGTGGCCGGTGGCTCCCGGACGGGGTGGCCTTCGTGCGCCTGCTCGCGCGCGCAACGTTGCGCCGTGCCCCCGATGCGCGGAGCCGCTGTGCAGGCGTACTTGCGGCGGTGGACTGCCCTCCTCGCAGTCGCCGCGCAGCGCGCGCTCGCCGCCAGCCTGCTGCAGCTCCCGCTGTTCGGGGAGACGTGCGTTGATGGCGCCGAGCCGCCGGTGAGCGATCTGCTCGCCGACGCCAGGTGGGAGAGTGGGCCTGCGCCGCGCTTGCGCCCGCCGCTCGTTGCGTTTCACCTCGTAGCTGCTGTGATGCGGCGGAAAAAGGCGCGCAGAAAAAGAGGGGGAACGCTTTAGGGGGAAGAGGCGTCGCAAACTCCGCGGCCAGCTTGGCGGTATCCAGCCAAGCCCAGCTTGTGCGGGGAACCCGAATCATGGGCCGCCGCGGCATTCAGAGCAACCGTCTGCGGGGTAAGTGGCCAGGTGTGAGGGGTCGTGCAACCCATGGTTTGTCCTTCTCCACAGGGTCCCAATCCGGCATCCTCACACGGGGCCTCTTGAGAAGAGCTCGCCCATGACACTGCATCATGGCACATCCTTGATTCAGGAGTGGCCGCCTCCGTCTTCGTTGACTTGCCTGTTCGCGGGCGTGATCCCCGAAAGCGTCAGCGACGCCTCTACAGCCGGGCCCTTCGCCGCCACACCGGTTGGGAGCAATGGGCACGGCGTCAGCGTGGTAGACGCGTCTGCAGGGATGGCCGTCAGCGAGGCTCCAGCCTGCAGCCTGGTCTCCCGTTTAAAGACGGCGGCAAGGATGGCAACAGCAGATCGCGGTTGTGTGCGGTTGTGTGAGTGGCGTATTCGCGACGCATGGATTGCTACCAAGGCTTGCAGCCTGGTCGTTGCGCTGGGTGCGCACTCCCTCCAACAAGTCCTGCCAAGAAGGGACAGTCGCCCAACATCGCCCAACCTTCCACTTGCAGCTGAGCCCGGGCCGCCTCCGCTTCCTGTAAGCTGTGCGGCCGGGAGCGGCGGCGACCCGCGCTTCCGCGACACCGGCACGACGTGCCTGTATGACCGCGAGCACGTCGGCCCAACCTGCTCAGTAAGCTGCGGGAGAGACCCGCGCAGCCGAGAGCCCCAAGCGCCTGCAACAGCCCGCGCATACGCGAGACCTTCGGGCGTCGAGCCACCCAAGCACTGAAGCAGGGTCATTTTAGGAGGGGTTCAAGAGGAAATTCATGAGGGTGGGCTGGCATGCATGCTAGGAGGGGTTGAGAAGGAAATTCATGAGGGTTGCATGTGCATTCTAGGAGCGGTAGGGTTTGCACGGGCTGACTTGGCACGCATTCCAGGAACGATTGGGAAGGAAATTCATGAAGGTTTGCATGGGGAGGCGTGTATTCCAAGAGGGTTGCCACTGAGTCCCGTCCTGACGCAACCATCCTGTCCGTCGATGGCGTCGGCGCATTTGATACCATCAGCCGACAAGCCATGCTGCAGGCCTTGTCCAGCACTCCCGGCGCCAATGTGTGCTTGCCTTTCGTGCGCCAGTTCTACTCTGACCCCTCCCGGTTTGTGTGGCATGACGCTGACGGCCAGGCCCACCTGATTTCGCAGGCGGAAGGCGGCGAACAGGGCGACCCGTTGATGCCTGCTTTGTTCGCCAGCATGCGGCCCTCGCCGAGGTGCGCCGCCAACTGCGTCCGGACAAGTGTCTGTTGGCCTACCTCGATGACATTTATGTCATCACGTCGCCGGAACGTACCCGGGTTGTTTTTGACTTGCTGTCTCTGCACCTGCACCGGCACGCACATATACAGCTCCACCGCGGTAAGACGCGAGTTTGGAACGCGTCCGGACTGGAGCCACCTGGCATCCAAGAACTAGGATCGGTCACAGATCCAGTGTGGGTCGGAGACTGGGGCTTGCCTTCGGACCAGCAGGGTTTGGTGGCTCTCGGCGTCCCATGCGGCCATCCTGCCTTTGTTGCGGCACAGCTCCAGCTCACGAGGGCCAAGCAAGATCAGCTCCTCCAAGGCATCCGCGCGCTCCCTGACTTACAGTCCGCTTGGTTGCTGCTTTTGTTCTGCGCCTCTCCCCGGTGCACCCATGTTCTGCGTGCGTTGCCGCCCGTGGCCTCGCTGGCTTTTGCCGAGTCCCACGATGCGGCTATCGCCGCATGTGTTGTGGATCTGTTAGGGACTGGCCCCCTTTTAGACTAGCCCCGGCTGCGTATTGGGCGTCGTGGGCAGACACGCTGCCCGTGCTGCATCGCCAGCTCCCAACTTTGGCCGGGGAGACCCTAGCGAGGCTTCGTGCCCGGGAGCCTGCTGGACCTGCACTCTCGGGCGTTCTCCAGGCCCAGGGCGCGCTGACCACGGCAGGGTTTCGCCCGCCTTCTTGGGAGGATTTGCTTGACAATCCAGCCCCGCCGTCATCTGGCTTAGAGGGGGGGGAAGCTCGAATGCTTGCACGCCGGCGGTAAAACCAAGTCCTCCGAGCCAGGACTAATTTTAGCATTGCCAGGACTAGTTTGAGAATAGCACATGTAAATTGTCAGTACTAATTTTAGCATTGCCAATAGTAAATGTAGTTTTGGCAGGCATTCTTGCTATTGCCGGTACTGAATGTAGCATTGCCAATATAAACTTTGGATTGCCAGTGCAAAACCTAGTACATTTTAGCAAGGATTTGAAATGCAAAATTCAGTATCAATGAAAAATAATCCTGGAATGTTCTTTGGCTACGAGAAGAGGGGGTAGCTTTGCCGCAATAGTCAATTTAGTTTTGCCAGCATTAGCTTTAGTATTGCCAGTGCTAATTTTAGTATTGCCAATAGTAAACTTAGTATTTTTATCAGATAGAATAATTCAGCAAGGGCCGTAAATGCGTGTGTCTTTCTTAAGGGGGACCCCTCAAAATGGTTGGTTTCCGTTTGGTTTTGCTTTGAACCAGCCACCTAAAAGTGTATATACCCTCGAAAGACAGACGTACCCAACTGGAAAATCATGGCCCACATGGTTTCCTGAAAGACGCATCTATTTATATTGCAACGGGCTAGCAGCTAGGACATTTATTGCAGAGTAGTTGTGCATAACAGACACCCTTGTTTTGAAATGTTCTAATTGTGTCAACATATTTTATCTGGTTTGGTTGGAGTTATTCCAACGGTTGGTTTCTCGATGTATTATCACTGTGTTTTTTAAAAGTTTTGAAATGTGCATTTTCATTTACTCTTAAAAAGTATTCTATCTGCTACCCCGTTAGTATACTTTGTTTATGTTTTGGTTATTTGTTGTTTCTTGCTTTCGTTCGTTCGTGTGTTTTTGTTCTGTTTTCTTTGTTGTCTTTCTTTACGCTGACTTTTTGGCTGGAACGGAAGCTCGCGGTTTTCATGGCACGTGCTTTGCAACCACGGCGCAGGCGCGAGCAGAAGTGCGCCTGGGGAAGGAGTGTGACCAGGAGCCCCGTTGCGAGGGTTTCGATCAGTCAAAATGCAACCGTGCATATGTGCGCCAGGCGTGTGTTGTGTGTCGTGTGTCGTGTGTCGTGTGTCGTGTGTCGTGTGTGGTGTGTGGTGTGTGGTGTGTGGTGTGTGGTGTGTGGTGTGTGGTGTGTGGTGTGTGGTGTGTGGTGTGTGGTGTGTGGTGTGTGGTGTGTGGTGTGTGGTGTGTGGTGTGTGTTTGGTTTTTGTGTTTGTCATTGTGTTTGTGTTTGTGTTTGCGTTTGCGTTTGTGTTTGTGTTTGTGTGTGTGGTTTTGTTTTCTGTGCGTTTCTGTTAGTATGGGTTTGTATGGGTTTGTGTGGCGTGTGGTGTGTTGGGTTTGCGTGCGGTGTGTTGTGTGTGTGTGTGCGTGTCTGTTGTGCGGGCGGTGCGTGTGCATGTGCTTGCGCGTCTGCGTGTGCACGCGTTTTGCCCTTGTGTCTTGTTGTTTGTCTGTCTGCTTGGTTGCTTGCTTGCTTGGTTGTTGGTTGGTCGGTTGTTGTTTTGTTTCCTCTGTCTGCCTGTTTGTCTGTCTGTCTGTCTGTGTGTTTGCCCATGTTTTTTGGTTCGCGCTTGTTTGTTTGCTTTGCCTTGCTCTGCTTTGTTTTTGTCCGTTCGCGCGCTTGCTTTGCCTTGCCGTCCTTGCCTTGCCTTGCCTTGCCGCCTGTTTGTTTGCCTTGCCTGCCTGTTTACTTGTCTTGCCGAAAAGCGCCCGATTGAAAAATGTGATGCCACCCTGCGGACCCCGCCTAAAACCCTTTTTTCAATGAAGGAAATTCATCACGGGTAGCAACAGCGGCAGCAAAAGCCGCGATCCAGAGGAGGAGCAGGACCGTTTCTACGAGTTGCTTTTAGCAGCGGCTCGGGACTCAGATTGTTTGTGCTGCAGTGGGCTTGAAAAGCAAAGGGATCAAAGGGTGCAACCGCGCATTTTACATTAGTTTTGCAACACCAAATGTTCAAGAGAAACGTGAGGAACATGCATTCATTGCCCCGGGAATCTGGTTTTCCAGACCCTTCATTTTCTTAGCAGGAGAACCATGCAAACGTAGCGGGCCTTCCACAACTCTAGGTTCTGCCCCTGCTCGGCGACGGTTCGTGTTTGGCTTCCGAGGAGGCGCGGACCGGGCGGGGGAGCCGGAAAGCGTTTTCATCGCAGCACCCCGCCTTGAACAGAACTCGAACCAACAAGTCTAAACACCTGCCCAAAACGGGAACCGCGGAAACGAAACCTTTGGTGACTAGCTGGTGGTTGGAGGGGAGCCAAGCAGCTGGGGTTATCCAAATTCGCGCTCAAAGGGGGCTCTGTCGAAGCTACGAGGAGTCGCAAGTCGCAAGCGCAGGGGTGTGATTGTAATTAGTCGTTCCTGAGCCAAGTTTGTAGCACCGATGGCACGCCGGACCGAGGTGCTTTTCATGCTGGGCCGGGCAGGCTGGAGAGTGAGTGGAAGACAAAAGCCGCAGCAGGAAGGCAATTAATTAGAGTCCCATTATTTTGTTCGCTACGGCCTTCGTGTTAAGAGCGCGCCTCATACCGCAAACGGAAGCAACGAAATGTCATCTTGTTGCGCTGGAATTAGACGCGGGGTTTCCTTGCGCGCCAGAAGCATACCCCTTGCGCTAATGAATTGTGTAGTTGGGGGAGGGGCTAAGGCAATGATATTGTGGGTGGACGACATCCTACACCACTGTAAACCATTGATTGTTGGTACTCGCAGGTAAAACGAATCTTTCCCAATTTTTCTTCGGTGCGAGCGCAACAAATCCACAGTTTGATGTTCTCCCTTGGGCCTGAGGTTTTGGAGTCAAGTTCGGCGAGGCCCCTTGCTATCCCCTTCTTGCGTCAGGTTTACAGGCGCAGGCTCAGGACTTGATGCGCGGCAAGGAGCGGCGGAGCGGCGGTTTTTCCCCGAGGAGGAAGGGTGGCAGGAGGATCTTGCACAAGGCGTGCAAACGACAAACCTGATGTCTCAGTTCTGGGGAAGGCATGTTTAAACAAGAGCTTTGTCCACCTCCAAAAGTGGGCTTCACTGAGATCCAAAAGTCATTTGAGTTGTTGGGCAGTTTCCGATTGTTTTCATCACGAAAGGATTGGCCTCCTGCCGAAAACTTGCCGCAAACTAGTGGGGGCCAGTGCTGATGTAACCAATCGCCCTAAAGATAGATACGTTGAGCATCGTTGAGCGTTTCCGCACATGAATGCAACTGCCTCGCGTTGACTCGTGGTGTGTCAAGTGGCTCGCCCCTGTCCAAAAACGATGCCTTTCCACCGAAGGAATCCGACCTTAAAATAAGGAAACAAACTATAAATACCAAATTCAAATCCCCCATGAATTGCCAACCAAAAAGTTGTCGTGAAATCGCCGAAAGGATTTTCTTTGGAACATCTTATCTAAGACAAGGCGCCAAGATGACCATTGTTTGTTCCCTTTTTAGCTTTTTCCACGACCGAAAAGGAAATCCATAATTTCAGGGACACCCAACTAGATAGCGGCTTGCAGCATCTGCCTCGCAGGTGAGCAACTGCCCATGTGGTGTTTGAATCTGGGGGCCCGCCATCAGAGAGACATGATTCGCTCTCCTTTCTTCTCCTGCAAAGAATGATTGCAGCCGATATTTGGAAAGATTTTGTTGCCTGACAAACATGGACAGGCAGGCTGTTTTCCCAAAAGGTGGGTTTGGTTGAGGCTTGTGTTGGATGAGGATGGTTCAGTGCGGGGTGCGGGGTTCATTTAGCGGGTGTATCGGACACCAAAAAGCGCAACAAAAACAGCAACAGCTCTTGCAGTCAGCCCTCTCCGCGGAGGACTGTTTTGGCACACGGCCCCTTGATTGAACAAGCGTCGCTGAGCGAGGAGCGTGTGGAGGGGGAGGAGCTCCGGAGAATCCTGGAGACAGCGGCCACGCGCTGAGAAGGGATCGGATGATTTGGACCTCACCCGCACCAGCTTAATGTTTTCCAAAACAGTTTCAGGGAACAGGGAATACTTGCCACCCCTTTTTCGCTCGTTCAATGCAGCCTTTTGGCCGCGCAAAGCTACAGTTGTCCGTCCAACTTGCCCTCCAATTCTTGCTGCCGCCTGCTCGTCTGCCAGAGCTTAGAACTCGTGGAGCCTTGTCCGATCAGTTTGACACTGCAAGCTGTCCAGTGGTCTCTCGAGAAAGCTCACAACATACCCGCCTTTGTCGGAATCTCCAGTGAAGAAAGAGTGTGCAGACTTTCGACACCAGGCTGTTCGGAAACTTCAGGCATTGCCAAGCGGCTTCGCTTGGAAGTCTGTGCTGCGATGTCTACTCGGCTTCCGTGTCCTCCTGGTGGACATGTTGGAGAAAGTCCTTGAACAAATCCACACTGATGTGACTATTCTTGCAGCGGGAGTCACTCCTGAAAGGCAAAAAGACGACGTCGCCTACCTTTGTTCGGTGAGACGTGGCAGGGTGGCTTCATTCATTTGTCCCGACTGGGCTGTGGCCCGAATATCGGGATCTGATGATTGTTTGAATAACGGCTAGCAATGAACCTTTGGATTTGTCAGGTTGTTGGGTTGACAGACTGAACACTCGAAACGGACGTGCAACCGTGATCGCCTTCGAAACAATCGGTTTGCCTTGATGATCGCCGGAATCGTTGGCCATTCTAGTGAAAAATATCAAATCTTGCATTTTCGTGACCCCCACCGTCTCAAGCCACGGGGTTTGTTCGCGACTGGGTACAGACCGTGAGCGCCTGAAAGGTGAGCCTGCGAAGGATTCGCAGACCACAATGCACAGGTTGCTCCACTCGAAGAGCTGCCTCACAGCTTCCAGTTCCGTTGGCTCTTTTGACTTGGGGCATCCTCGACTTTGCCTTGTATTGGGTGAACCTATCACCGATTTCGGCGCGGCTCAAGGCTTTGACCTCGGCATCAACCGGGATTGACGCCAACTTCCCGGCCAACCGGGCCTGCGCCCGCCAGGCAGCGCGTTTAAATGTGGCATTGCCAATGAAACAGTATTATTGCTACTCATCCAGTACTGCCAGCGCTAAATTCAGTGTTGGCAGCGCTAGCTTCAATTTTGCAAGTGCTAAGATGGATTTTGCCAACGCGAGATGTACTTTTGACAATACGTAGTTCCGTCTTGCCAACACTAAATCGGCTATTGCCACTACACCGGGTGCAGAAAGTTAGTTGGGAACTCAGCACGTGAACAAGTACGTGAACAGATCGAGACTCTCCCTCCCAACTGGAAGCCATGAAAACTCTGGTTGTAGGAGAGGAAGTAGGCAATTGCCTGGATGGTGGATCGCGTGATGCAATTCGCCTCTGCCCAGGCACGGCTACAAGATGGACAGGAGAACCTGGCCTCAGCCTGAGACGTGCTGTCGGCTCGAACTCGCCATGCCCTTTTTGCGCACGATTTCCCGTGCGAAACCCTTCATTTTGCCATTGCGGGGGGGCCCAAACGATGTGGAACATAAGACATGTATTAAACCCCTTTCTGGCAGAGTTTTCAAGTAGCCTTCAGACAATGAAGGAGACCCCAGAACTTGGTTACTGTTGCTTGGGTGGCAGTCACTCATTGTTGGGCCTCGACGTTGCCTCGCATTCCAGTATGGTTAATGAGGGAGTTGTCTGTTTTTGTCAGATCCATGGCACTTTCCAGGCCCTTCAAGGGTTCGCCCCGCTGTTCAGATCATGTGGGGCAAATGTTTCGCACCGGCACCTTGAGCTGGATGGTTCAATTTAATCCGAAATTCATGCCATGTGAGTTCCTTGTTTGGGTTCATTTCCTCCCCCCACGCTGTCTTAGGTGGAGCCGGCGCGGCGGGTGCCCTGGCCAGCGTCTCAGGCGCAAAAGTGCAGCACGCACCTGAGTCTACACGTTTTAGGTGCCAATCATCCTCCATAAAATTTGGTACATTGGTGTATCCTTGTTTCTATGTATCTTTATCTATTTACTTGTTTCTGTCTCTGTCTCTTTTTTCTCTCTTTCTATCACTCTTTTTTTGTTGCTCTCTCTTTCTCTTTCTCTCCCCAGATTCACCCACTGTTGCCTCGGGCTACCGAACGTGTCACAAAAGGGAGGCGCGTCCAATGCGCCACCAACTTGTCCAGGCATTCGGGCAAGAGGTGTATGGAAGGCAGCCGGCGCCAAGACAGGCACGGCGCTCCCTCCGGTTCCTTTGCTGGTAGCTTACGCCCAGCTTTTTGACACTGGAGATTATTGTTGCACCAATTGTTTCACGCGATGAATGGCTTTGGGGCATTTTGGAACTCAGGATTGACGCGCTAAGCTGGTGAGTAGTTTTCCCTTGAAATCAAGGAAGGTGAAGGGCATCCTCAAAACTCGAGAAAAAACAAAGCAAACTTAATGTTGCGTGTTTTCCCTTTGGCGTCTGTTTCACCCAGCCCCAGAAAAATGGGTACTGTACTCTCAAACCCTCTACTCCGCCCTCGATCGAGGATTGAAGGCATCACCTGGGACGGCCGGCGCCTGCGTATCGGCGCGGCCTTCCAGGGGTGAAGCGAAAAAGAGAAAAAGGCGCCGGGGCAGACGCCGTTTCACGACTTGGTGTTAGGTCAGTGAGTGGCTCTCACTCCCTGAGTTCATGTGTTCGGTCGGCGTCGGGACATTTGCCTTGCACCGCATTTTTCTTGGAAACAGGTGTCATGTGTGTATTATGTGTCCTTTTGGAGGGTACCATTTTTTCGTGGCTACTAAGGGAAACCAACGCACAGTTGCTTTCACGGGGGAGGGGGGGGTCCCCTCAAAAGATACACCCATGTGTTCTGGTGATGCTCGGAGTATGTGAGCGCTTGGGGCTTGCGAAATGTCGGGTCCGCGATTCACGCAACACCCCCATCTTGGTTGCCATGATCACTTGGGGTTTCTTTCCGGGCTATGTTTGCAGGGGAGGTATGGGGGCCCAGTTCACTATGCGTTGCTGCTCATGGAGATGTCCTTGTTTGATGTGAGACGTGCACACCTCATGACTCTTGCAAGGAGAGCACAGCTGGCCATTTGCAGAGCATCCTTGGCTGAATGGTTGGGCGTGTTGCTTGTGCTCTAGAGGACGGTGTGATGGGCCTTTGCTAGTACTCAGTTAATATGTGACCGGGGTTTGCTGTCATCACATTTGGCTTGGCATCCTGGCCCCTTGCCGGCGGGAAGTGACTCTTCGCCAAGTGTCGAAACCAGTCCATTGGGCTCAGGACAGACGGGCCGCCACGAACGGGAGCACGAATTCGGGTGCCTCATTTCGTGATTCCGGGTTCCAACAAGAGCCCTGGCTTTTGTCGCGCGGGTTTTTGTCAACATCGCAGTTTGGCATGTTGTTTTTGAGGGAACTTGTGGCAACGGGTTCTCGTGAGAGAAAGCTGGAGGTTACTTTGGGCCTTGAATAGGTAGATGACCACCACACAGGGGTAGAAGTGTGGTGTGGTTTCATTTTGGTTCCCCCTAGCCGGGGTCTCAACTTCAGCCCCGCCATCTTTGCAAGCCTGGCGGTGAGCCCGCAAGCTGGCACTCTCCTTCCGGGTTTTGTAAGTTCATGGGCGTGTCCGGGCGTTGGGCTTGTGGAAGACACCGGATAGAAACCAATGGTTCAACCGTATCCGCACTCCAGACAGCCCCTGGAAGGTGGGAGGCAAAGATGCGAAATTGGTCCCCAGGGACAACAAAACACCCCAAAGTGATGGTCACGAAGCCAAAGACGCATTTTCGTTGGACATGGCGCCAGGTGACAGGTGGGTTTGACGCCTTGCGCGCGCGTTATGTGTTTTTTTGTTGAGCGGAGTCTGTGGCACCCACCTGCGACCCTGGCTCAAACCAGACGGAAGAGGGCCAGGAAGGAGGACCGGAACGTCTGAGGCGATTTTGGCCCGTTTCAGGTCAGTTCAAAGAGGAGTTTTCGTCACCCAGTTGCCCAGTGGCGGCCTTTTTCCCCTTCTTTTTTTTGGGGGGGAAAGGTTCTCCTTTGAAGTCAAGCAACCAACAAAGGATGCCCTGTGTTTCCCATGGCCACTGGGCATCTGAGTTGAAGTTCCTGGACATGACAACTTTTGGGGAAGACCATTTGGACTTTCTTTGGCCAGTCCACTCAGGAAGTGACTAAGTGAGTGCGAGTAAGGTACAAGAATAGCGCAAGCTGCCGCCCTGATTGAGCCTCAACGGAATTTCACACGTGACTCTTCTTTGGTTAGGAGCATTGGCCTCACCCCGAAGGGTGTTTGACCTTACATTCAATGAAGCAGGCACGCTGGCAGGCACGGGGCACCCTTTCCACATTCCTTTTCGCAAGGGCACAGAAACCTAAAGATGCATGTTCCACCCGGAGTTGGTGGGGCCACCAGCTTGCAGTTGTTGGAAGGGTTTTCAGGCTAATCAACCCCGGCTTCTAGGCATTGTATGGACCATATAACGGCTGGGAGCACCTGCAAAGAAGGAGCACTTTCTCATACATGCTCCCCTAATGATCTTCAAGTATGTTTGTCTCTTTGTTTTTATGTTTTTCGGTTTGGGTGGAGGGGTGGGTGGGTGGGTCGTAATGTCTTTTTCTTATGCACGTAGCCGCCCCTCCCCCCCCAATCCACAGCATAAGATTTGGTGCTTGCATCCTGCGTCAAGTCTATTCGTGGGGCGGGGAGCAGTGTTCTCTTGTTTGACCACACTGCTAGGCCGAGTCTTAGAGTTTCTCGCTCGAACTGCCGGGTTTCTCACCGAAATGGATTGGACTTGTTCAGAGTTGCTGCACCACGAAAACGATAACAAACCATCCCTCAAACAACCAGAAACCAACTAAATCATCAGCTCCTGACTGAAATCTCGACCCAACCTTTGGCTTTCCTTCGGACACCGAGTTCTGCCGGGCGTTTTGCAGCCCGTGTTTTGGGGCTTAAACAAACGAGGACGCCGCTAATGGTGGACGAGCTCCACAGCTCGGAGGCTCGAGCCGAGGGGTGTTTTTGACCAGGTGTCCGTGGGTTTGGGTAGGCATCGATGAGTTTAGATTTCCTTGGGCACTGGTTTAGATTTCCTTTGGTTTGTTTGGGTAGGGATGGGTTCCACTGGTTGAAAGATTGCTGTCATGCCCAGAAGGCCAAGGGGTGTCCCATCAGAACTGAGTCAAACAAAAGACAAAAGGATGCCCATGCTTTGACCCTGTGGGTTGGTTGAAAGGCAAAGGCAAAACAAGCTTCCAATAGACGCCTTTTTTGGTGGAGCTGACAGTTGTTTCCCAAACATGGCGGTTGCCCGGCAATGGGGAAGCCGCGTTCAAAAGAGCTCATCGTTGTCGAAGCAACCGCTGGCTTGGGCGGTTGGAGCGTGAGGGCTCCAAAAATCAACCCCGGGATTCGTCCGGAGGAAGCCTCTGGCCACTTGATGGAAGTGAGGGTGGTTGGTTTCTCCCAGGTCGCAGCTGCTAGCTTCTACCCTCCCAGCAACTAACATTGAAGTGCAAAAAGGCCCCTTTCCAAGAGGAAAGTGGTCTTTCTACAGGGGTCTGTGCGCTTCCATGTTAGCTGGTGGGGTAACTTTTTCCCTTCGAAGACTAGGCAAATGGACAGTGAAGCTCCCGGTGCCCCAGGTTTGGATGTTTCTAGCCGGAAGCCACGGTGCCACCGACAATCTTCCGACTTGCTCGCAGCCAATTCTCGAAGAAAACATGTCGTACGTCAAATGGGCAACAGACTGACAAACACATGGCTGGATCTAAGGTAAACTAGGTCCCCCAGTAGTGCCCTTTTTACCCTTTTTTGGGGAAGGGTTCCCCTACTAAAATAGACTACAAAAAAGGGTACTCTTATTCCAACCTCTCTGCTGGACCTAGTAAACTCAAACCTATGGAAGGGCGGTGCGTGCACTAAATCGAGGAGCGCTTCTTTCAAAAAAAGAGAAGAACAAGTGCCCTCAAACGAAGACAGACCCGTCTCGCAATCGATGGAAACAAGGCCAGACTTCCCTTTAAGAGGGGTGTGGGGCGGCGGCACAAACTCTAAGATGAATGGCTATCGCCTATGGATCAAAGAAGCCAGCTGCCCGAAATTTCCACAGGAAGCAACGTTCCAAATCCTGGCATTTGGGCAGGTGGCAAAGTTCCAAATCCTATTTTTCTGGAGATCGTTGCTTGGAAGCAAACTGTTAAATCATGGCAGCTGCAGGACTCGGCCTGGGTGCAAGATGATGCCGGAAGCCCAGAAGCCTTTTCCATGCCGACGGAGGCCCAACAGATTGGCAAGTGGGACTTTCCCTGCTGAATCCACCAGGGGTTCATGAATTCATTGGGTCAACATGGTGGGAAGAAAGGGAACTCTTATAAGGTACTGCAATTTGACAGGGTAGAAGTTACTAAGTTACTGCAATTCCCAGGACGTGGTGGCACCCGCAATATTCAAGGAATGCGCACTGGCAGCTCTCAGGTCACGCTTCCAAGTTTGCTGAGGCCCCTGCTGTCCCCGAAAAGTCGAGCAGTAGAAGTCCAGCGTAAGCTTCCCTAGCGCACAGAAAAAGACCCTGCACCCCCAAACCAACCCCATTCGACCACTGGACCACTGCTCGAGTTGTATCTAGGCCGTACCCCTGCTTTATCAGAAGTGTCTAGTTTTGCTGCGAACGGCTGCCAGCACATGACAGCAACTCAATGACCGAATTTCCATACCCAACGTGCCCCATCATGTATCGCAGCTGGGTGTTGCGCCTCAAGGCCCGCAGGCCCGGGGAAAGGGAAGATTGCCCTGCCATTCTCTGCGTAGTGGGGCTCGGCTCAACACCATCCGTGGCACTCATTTCTTGGCAACAAAACCCGCTTGTGAATCGGGGCAGGCCCCCTTTCAGCGGGGATTGCTTTGTTCCAGGGGGGCCCATTTGATTAATAGCGGGGGGGTGTGAATCAGGGGCCAGCATTGGTTCAGCATGAATCCTGACTTTTTAGGAACAAACTCAGTTCTTTGGGTCAGCACCGGGTCCCACCGAGGTGGAGCGAATTTGCACAGAGACCCTAGACTCCCATCTCAAGGAGCACCAGTACAATGAGGCGCGGGAGTCACAGAAAATTGTCTGGCGACCTTGAGATGGATGCTGAACTGGGTGGGTGCATGAAAGGAGTGGCAAGGGCTTCCGAGGATGCGCGCAGAGCGAGCTGACGTGGGGTAAAACAAGCTCACCCACGCTGACTACGGATTCGCACGTCCGAGGGTTTCAACTGTTGCCTGCCCAGGAATTGGTGCCTCACTGGGTCAATGAAATCTGCTTCTTGGATGCATACCTTTCACAGCCGGGCAGCTGTGCAGACCCAGCTGCCACCCGTCCGTCCCCAGCGAATTCCCATTGACCATGTTGGGCATGGGCACCTATGCCCGATTGTTTGAGGGAGGGGCTTCTAAATTCCCACTTTGGAAATGGCTCTTGAGGACCCCCCCGTGAGCACGCGCCCTAGGGATAGTGGCGCCAGAGTGAAAGCAATGGCATAGAAAGTTTGTGGAAAAAACACCCCATGTAATTGATCCACAAGGCTTCTTAATTTGAGGTCCACATTAGGTCACTT